AGCCGGTGAGATTTGAACTGCTGAACTGCAGATAACAGTCAGCTGAAGTGGCCTGCAGTACTGCACCCTAACCACTGCGCCACCTCAGTTCTAGGCTAGAATCTGGTAGCAATCACATCAAGGTTGGGACACTTAGACATCAGTAAGTAGCCCAAAGCAGGAGACAGAAAACCCTCTGAGACCTCTCTAAGCCATCATGCATATCCACCTGACTGTTTTCTTAGATGTGAAGATGCCCTTTGTAGAAGCAAGACCCTGATTGGACCAGACCAACGCGAGTTCTTGCGAGAACTAGAGAGGAATTACCGGCGCCTAAAAGAAGCCCTACACCCACTACTCAACCGCAAAATCCCTCAACTCTACACACCAGTTGCCCCTCATTCTGCGCACAGGTGAGGCCTGTATGCCCAGCTTCCCTCCGGTATAAGTGAACACTTGGAAATGGAGGCCCAGAATCAAAGTGCGTTGCACGGGGGAAGTTTATTGATACAATCCCATCGATGTTACACTGAGGGGCCTTTCATAATTCGTTGCTTTTGTTCTTTAGGACATAAATCAGTGTTTCTCAACCTTGGCAACTTGAAGATGTCCGGATTTCAACTCCCAGAATTCCACAGCCAGCGAATGCTGGCTGGGGAATTCTGGGAGTTGAAGTCCGGACATCTTCAAGTTGCCAAGGTTGAGAAACACTGACATAAATGATTCCCACTTAATTCTTCTAGGAATTCTGCTCCCCCAAACCAGGGGATATAACCGTATGAGGCTACCCAACACAAGGCGCTATGCTGTTGGATTATACCCGAATGTTCAGAATGTCATAAGTGGCCCAGGGGCATCTGAGTTGCCCGCTGCTGATTTTGAACCAGTTGGGTAAAGTCTGTTAAGTCACCTTTGTGCCTGTTAGGGCTTTTTTTATTTTTATTTATTTTCTCTTAACATAATACATATTTTGTGGACAGTGTATTAACTGGGTCAAATCTGTTTAAAACAATGCTAACAGTAATAATGCAAATAAGTATGCATAATTCTGATCTTCCAGCTTCAACAACACCATTCTCTCTTTCTAATTCTTTATCATATTTCCCATTAATTCATTTGAACATAAATACCATTTCTCTGCACCATGCATTTGTTATCCCCTACTAAGTTACTAATATTTAATATTTTGAAAATTATTCATTATTCCACCATAATTTCAATATACCAAATGTCTCGGTCTACTAATAAAGCCAAATATTAACAAAATGTAATCAATCCCGGGTATATATCTCAGAATCCCCACAATTTCTAATCCTTAAAAGTTTAAATTAACAATATAGCTTATTTTTCAGAGTGTACGACGAACTTCTTCCCCTCCCAAGAGTGGGTGGAAATGTCTCTGCATCTTATACTCCGAATGTTGCTGAAGCCCCACCCACCCACTGGCCCACCACGCTTTGGCTATGTTCGGCCTCCCTGTGTCGCATCTTTGGCCTCATGCTCCATTTTAGACCGGTTCCAGGCTGCAGGGATCACTACAGCACATCAGTGCCATTCACCACTTTTGCGCATCACGTTTTTGGCCTCCTCTGTGCATTGTGTTTCCAGCCTGTTCCAGGCGGTGAGGATCGCAGTTGCCGATCTCTATCATCTGGAACAACCAAAAAAATGCAACGTGCGGAGGCCAAAAATGCAATGCGCAGAGGGTCAAAATGCGATGTGCAGAGGCGGCAATTGGCACCAATGTGCTCTGGCAATCCCAGCAACCTGGAACAGATCTAAAATGGAGCATGCACAGGTCAAAAACACAACACATGAAGGACAAAAACATGACGCACGGAGGTGGCAATGGGCTTTGACGATCCCCACAGCTTAGAACAGCTGATTGGCGGTATTCCAGGAGGCTGATCCAACCGCCAATCAGCCACTCATGCTGAATCAGGTTGCGATAATTTGCTGAAGCTGACCAGGCAGTTTGTTGTAAGGATGGTAGACAGATTAATACCAATGGATGAATACCAATGGTAGGCAGAGGCAGAATTTTTTTTCTTGTTTTCCTCCCCAAAAACGAATGTGTGTATAATATGGTACCATATGGTGTATGGTACTTTAACACACTATTAATATTAATAATACAATTAAATTTGCCATCATCCCTGCTGCCGTTCAGAAGAGCTTCAGACCTAATGAGGAAATTGCCACAAGTTCCTTGTGGTCCTTCTCTTTTCTTCACTGTCCCTACAAGGCAGCTTTGACTCCGTAGGGTCCCCCCGACAGCGGTTACTGGCTGGATTTCGCAAGGCTCAGCATAGCCCACTAATTTCCAAGCCATTCTCGCCCCAACATCAACTGGAAGTCTGGCTTCTTTCAATCTTATAATGAGTCCCATTGTGCCAGTTGCTTTAGAGAGATCCTGCTTCAAAATCCGACCCAACTATAATGCAGTTCCTTTTTTTCATTCGGTGGACTTATACATTTCTGCTTTTGCTATTTCACTCTTTCCCCACATAATGCAAATTCATTTCCAATATTTCTTAGAAATAGAAATCTCCTATTTCTCCCCACAGAAACTCCTTCAACAAATTGTGTCTGCAGAAGATGGAAGCCTAACCTGGATTTCTTGAATTATAAAGAGCCTAATTTATGAGAGCAAGCACTGAACTTTGCAGCCACCAGAGTTTCAGTCTTAATGAAGGATTGTGCGCTTACTTTGCACTGGAAGACAATATTGGGATTCCTGCCCTGTTTTTTTCCTGACATTGTTCAAGATTTGAAGACAGAGTTTCAATCAAATGGAAGGAGAATATTTGTTGAAGACGGTAGGAGCTGCCTCCCACACTCTGCCTTGTTGAAGTCTGAGCTCCACCCTCAGGAAACTTCTCGGCACGTGGCCATCTGACTTGGGAAGGCTGGGTGAGATTCCTGCAGATCTTCTTGATCCAAAGGGAGATTTGTGTCACAGAGACTGGCCTTGAATTTCCATACACAGCAGGTAGATGTAACTCTAGATCAGTGTTTCTCAACCTTGGCAACTTGAAGATGTCCGGACTTCAACTCTCAGAATTCCCCAGCCAGCGAATGCTGGCTGGGGAATTCTGG